TATATATATATGCACACACCATGGAATTACATTTATACATATATTTACTCTACCACTTTTGCTCAGCTTTTCATTAAATTATTAACTATATGTCTCATGTGGATCAGCTTTCAATATTACACATTCTGCAAATTTCCTATGGGATATTTGTTAATGTTTCCTCAATTAATTGAAGACAGACACTTTAACATTTGTATCTGTGATTACCAAATAGGATTTCACGCTCAGTCTTATTTTAATGTGCTAATAGGTAACTAATACTTGAACATGGTGAATATTTTTATGTAACCATATTTATATACGTGCTTGTACTTTAGTATCTCTGTTTATATGTCAGTATTATCAACCAGATAACTGTATGTATATTCCTACCTACAGTACTTATTCTTTCTTACAATACAATTCTTAAAATACAATCATAGAAATAAAAAAATATATAAAAACTAAAATAATAAACTATTGTTTATACTGCTTTTTTAGTTTGCATCTACTTTGCGGCCTAGAAAAAAAAAAGACAAGATCAACAAGACAGAACTAAAGACTGATCAGGGGAAATGTACAAATGGGGAAAACACATTAACAGTGGAATCGCCTTGGCCGCCTCCAAGAAGTGGTTCCTTCTCCTATAGCTCTAGCCCAAGCCTCCTACCCAATTATAAAGGGAAACGATCAGCCAGTAGCCCCACCACCATGACAATTGACAGGAAAGAGATCTCTAAACGAGTGCGGCAATCTGTAGATAAAGAACTTGTAAAATACCGCAGACAGGTGGGTTTCACAGAGACCATTAAAGAGCCAGACAGTCCGGTATCCGTTTCTGATTCAGAATCTGGAGAAATGCAAGAATATGACATGGACAATGAGGAGAGAAAGCAGGTAAATGTAGCTTATTTCCACCCTTTTTTTTATACAAATCGTTTCAAGCAGAATATACTTTTAGTAAGGCTTTAAATAAATGTGTTTTAAATTAGATGACCTGTGGCCATAAGCTAACCAACACTAATTAACCCCGACAATGCCATTCATTCAGATTCAGAGTTAAATCCATACTAACTGCAGGCATACTCTGAAGTCTTTATGCCTTTTAGCTATTGTTTTCCGAAATCCGATGTTTTTATTACAATATTATGTAAGTCTTAATGTTGGCAGGACCTATAGAAAATGCTGCTAACAATGTAGTTTGCTCTTTTTATATAAATTGAACTTCCTGCTACAATTTTTAGATTTGACTTCTCAAAATAGTGTTATATTTTTTAAGTGATACCAAACTCAGGAGTTAAATCTTAAAAATGCTTACAAGTATCTTAACTATTAACAAAAATGTATCTTATCTGTGTATCACTCAGGTGTAGATCCTCCAATCATCTCTGAATTGGTGCTGACACTGTCCTTCCTTCTGGAGGGTGGCTACTTTTGTTCCCAATGGTCCCTATGTGTGTTGTAAAGTAGCTACCACTCCAAGTTTATTCCTGTAAAGGACTACAATCTCACATTTAGTTTACTAATTTGTATTGGCATTGTAGTCCATCACTGGAGCGGGCCAGGAGGGGTGTCTACTTTACAACACACACAGGGACCATGGGGAACAAAAGTAGCCACCCTCCAGAAGGAAGGACAGTGTCAGCATGAATTTAGAGATGATTTGAGGATCTACAGATGAATGATACACAAATAGGGTACATTTTTGTTAATAGTTAAAGTGACATTAAACCCTCAGATTTTTTAACATAAAACAATCCTGTAATGTGTGCCTTACTGTAATGCATGGCTGTTTCCCTTCTCTTTGCTGCTCTTCCTTTTAAATCTGTATCTGTTCTCATGCTCTGCAGAACTTCTGTTTTGCAGCAGACTGCCTTGTCTCAGGAATGGATACACGGTGTCTGTGTATAGGTTTGCCTTAATAAATATGATACATTTGGCAAAAACTGGATATTCTATACACATTGTTGATTGTAATTTATTGACTACCTTCCCAAGACCAGTGCCTGTTTTACCAATACATAGGAGCAAATACATGAACAGAAGTTAAAGCCAGTAAAATGTAAAGAATTACCATGCGGGTGACATTTTGATAAAATTCCTCATCTACATTTATTATGGCATTTTCCAGGTGGTTACAGTTCAGCATTAGTTTTTTTTTTACTATTATTTACATTTCACTGCATTTGTTAAAAAAAAACCTGTCTATAATGCTGTACAAATGCATTTGATAACAGTTATTTGGTTTCTTTAACCCATGGATAGATTGTAGATATTTTGTGGAGTGATCCTATAGCTCAAGATGGCTGCAAGTCAAATACAGTTCGTGGAGGAGGATGCTACTTTGGTCCTGATATAACTGAAAAAGTACTGAAAAAACATGGATTGCAAATGCTGATCCGCTCTCATGAATGTAAGCAAGAAGGATATGAGTTTTGCCACAACGGAAAGGTACATTGTTTGCATATAATTCGTAAGGCTTAAAAAGAAAGCAATATATTCTAGTTTGTATACATTTTATATATGTATTTCTCTCTCACTCTCCATATACAGTATGTGTATGTGGATAATCATGTTAGTTAATAAAATAACAGTCCAAAATACCTAAATGCTTGAATGAATGTGAGGGTTTATCTTTGGATGTCCACGTTACTGTCTGCAGGTTAGTAGTCAAAAGGGTTGTTGTATTTTAAAGAAAAAAAAGATGCTAAATGGGTGTGTGGGATGTGAGTTTGTTTGCCCAGATGGGCTTTAATACATGACAATGGATTCCCAGAACACTATCAATTGCTTGCCGCTTACATGCACTCGTTGTGTTGACATCAATAAGGCGGAGAAATCCTGTGCATGAACACTAGTGACCAGTCGGTACTGCACTACCATGCATGAGCAGGATCTCGCCTCCATATTGTGTTGTCAGAAATATGGTAGTGAGATCCTACACATGCGTGGTAGTGACTGGCCTGTTCTACCACTACAGATATGCCGAATCCTGCTGGCATATTTATGCCATTACAATTTTGAAGTAAGATTCAGCACAAGTACAGTAGCAACCTCAGAAGTAGTATGCTATTACGCACTGTCCTAAAATACAGGTGGCCGCAGTTGCTGGTAGCAAACATGGGTACCTAGTATTAGACAGGGTGTTCTTAGTGGCTTTATAGTGGCTGCTCTGTTATTATTGTTATAGAGTAGCTGTACACTGCAGCAAAGCATTACCCTCATACACCATGTATTGTATGTTGGTAGCCACAATGTGTATAAAGATTAATATGTTATTGGGATCTGCTCTGTTGTTAATGGTGATGGCCAATATGTAAGTATAGCACTGTAAATCTCAAACATGTTACAGGCTATGTGTTTTACAGACGTGTATTTGGCCTCAGGGTGCGTCAGTCTTCATTAATGTCTGCAGGATAACATATTTTAAGAATATGCTGTCACTACTGTGTGTGCAGGTTATTGGGGACCTTTTGGAATTTTATCAAAGACACTACCTGCACCAATGTGACACTCAGCACCAGCACAACCTTCTTCACGTCACTTCCTCACTCATCGCCGCTACATTGTTGTGCACTTCCTCAGTGAACGCCACTACAACATTGCATACTTTCTCACTCAGCGCTGTCACACTGACACTGAGTGCATATGAGAATTTTTGTTTCTGAAATGCAGACAAAACTACTTCATAAATTGCACATTGCATATTTCCAGTTTGGCAATTACATCAGCCTTTGTCACATTATATAGTACATCAGATTTTAAATCTTCCGACATAAATATATTTGTTGCTGTTTATTTTCTCAGGTTCTGACAATTTTTTCTGCATCTAATTACTACGAGGTTGGCAGTAACAAAGGAGCATATGTGAAACTGGGGCCTGACCTTGTGCCACATTTTGTGCAGTACCAAGCAAACAAAACTACGAACACTCTGACCATGAGGCAAAGGTACTGCTTCCCATATATACTGCATCGCACAGTTCTTCTCAGGGTCAGGGAAATTGTCAGCTCTGGGTCAATTCTTACAACTGTTTCTCTTTGTACTAGAGTGAGCACTGTGGAAGAATCCGCTCTGAGGGCCTTAAGGGAAAAACTATTTGCTCATAAATCTGTCCTCCTTAATGAATTTAAAAGATTTGACAAGAATCACCCTGGTAAGCCAAATATAAATATGTTATATTTTTATGTCTGGTATGAGCCCTGAGCCACAGTGACAGTGGCTCTTGACTGTTGGGAGCATGGCATATGTTTTTTTCCCAATATACGCCTTGCTTAGTCAAGGAATTGTTTTTATTAGTTTAAAAGTAAGGAAGGGGTGGGCTTGATCAAGTGGCAACCAATGGTAAATTCATGCAAAGGTCATACTCACCTCATCACTAGCGGACATCAAACCTGATACAGCCTACCCGATTCTCTGGCCCCCACCACCCGCTTTATATTGTCATTGTCACGGCTTTATTGGCAGGGTTTGACCTCGCCAGTGAGAATTGTAGCTGATCCATGCCCTCAGTGGTCCTTCAACGGCTGCCCCAAACTCATTATTTGTGACAGGCTTTGAAAATCACTGGTGGAGGTTTCTGGCACAGGCAAGCTTCTTTTTTTTATTTTGCAATTTTATCAATGGCTTTCTAATCAATCAAGTCTTCTTTTCACAATTAAAAGTGAGATTCCTTTCCATAACCACTGTTAAACTGTGCTTGAAGCTGTTGTCCTGTAAGACACTGTTGTAGCTTTATGTCTGCCAAACGTGTTATACCACTATGAACTATGGAAAGGTTCTTGTTAAGACCTGTGGAAACCTCCAGATGCTGGAGCTTTCAAAGCACAGGCTGTGCCAGATAGATGCAGAAGACGGATTTTAGGTTATCTCAAGACATAATTGCATTGTTTAACTCTTCTATGCAGGATATATTACATTAAATGACTGGGCAACTGCACTGGAGTCTGTCTTGAAACTAGGACTGCCATGGCGAATGCTCAGGCCGCAACTTGTCCGCAATGCTACAGACGGTCTGCTAAAATACAAAGAATGGTTTGATGAACTCTCTGTTTGCCAGCCAACCCGAGAGGTGAAGCTTTTAAATGTGTCTATGTAAAAATCAATATTAGAGATATCATATTAGACAAGATTTATATAGCGCCATCAGCTTGCGCAACACTTTTCAATATAAAGGGGTTACTGTTAAGGGGGTATTTTGGCTTCAAGAGCAGACAACATAAGTGTCACATACATACTGTTTTATCAAAATAATTAAATAAAATGTACTACATAATGTTTCAGATAAGGACTTTCTACTTTACCCTGACTTTCCCACTTCGCATACTGATTCTTGCCCAGTGAGTTAAACTACTAAGGGCAGTTGGTTAGCTTTATAGCAAGACAACTAGCATTTCCCAAAAGATCAGCATTGACAGCCCAATATTTTTCTCATGACATAATTACATTAAGCATTATGGAATAATTTATTATACGGTATGTACTAAATATCGCAATCAATGTAGTGGCACACACAGGGAAACTTTAAATCATATCTATGAGATGATGATTGCTGCAGATATAGACCCCCAACTATAAGTGTTTGGACATAAAGCACTTATATACAAGATATGCTGTGTTGTTATATTGGAATGTATATTGTCCTAATAGAATTCTTACAACTCCACTAATAGCTATATGTCTAATATAATTGCATAAGTTCTAGCATGAGGTAAGCAAAAAAAAAAGTATCTTCTTCCCTTTCCACAAATTGATGCGCTCCAGATTGATAACTCCTCCAGACATCTAGAATTGTGGTAAAAAATAATTTTGCAAATAAAGTTTATTTGTTGAAGAAAAACTCCAAGCACAAATATTCTTAACCCTTGCACTGCAAGAGTTAAGTGCTTATTTTTATCTAGGGACAACAAAAATAAAAAAAGTTATACTTACCTGAACCTCAGAGCCGCCTGGCTGCCAGACCAGCCCATGGAGCCTTGTTCCCCCTCCGCTTTGGCAGTCTAGGATCATGTAAGTCATCACGTCCTATACAGTGTATAGGACATGAGGATGCCAAGGGACATTCCATCGCTGAAATAGAAGAGGAGACGGGCTGCAGGGACCAGTCCAGCAGGCTCAAGGTTCAGGTGAGTATAACTTTATTTTTGCTGTCCCTAGATGAAAACAAGCTCTTAACCCTTGCAATGTGGGGTATCCCCAATGCAAGGGATAATAATATTTCTGGCCGGAGTTCTTCTTTAAAGCTAAATTAGTGCAGTTCTATGTTTATTAAACATATTTGTTTTGTTGTTTAATGCAACTAGTTTAAGTAACTGAATTTTATTTGGTCGGCAACTTGCATTCCTCTATACAGCACTTACAATGAGAGGGGCAAGGCAGGACTGGGGGCAAACCATGTGTAATTTAGGCTTATAAAAGGAACCTGCGGATAGGAAGAAAGAGCACAGAGAACGAGAATATGACCTCATCAGTCTGCTGCTGCTCTGACACTGTGCAGTCAGAAGGCTGGGGATGCGGCTCTATGTGGATAGAGGATACCACTGTACTTGACACCTTCAGGTGGCATCGTCCATCTGAAAGTATAGCAGGACAGTGTAAATGTCAGTATTGGAGATTGACATCTTCTTGGAGGTAAAACAGTTCACATATACAGTATGTTTATCTTATATGCCTTTTTTGTGTGTGAGCATTTACTTGTCGTCAATTCTTGTTTTTCAGTAGAATGTCTTTAAACCCAACATGTTAATTGTATAACTTTGCAGAATATACAGTCAAGTTTGTTAGAAGCTCTCTACAGAAACCGATCAGATTTGGAAACAATATTTAGGATAATAGACAGTGACAGCTCAGGTAAGTTCAGCTGAATTACATTGAAAATAGCATTAAACATTTACATTTTTTTTCCATCCTGTAGTAAGGTTCCAAAAATCACTATTGTAGCAAGCAAAAAAAAAATGTACCATACTAAACACAAGTAAATACAGAGATAGGGAAGGCAAAAAAAAAAAAATGATTAAAGTGACATTAAAGGTTTTTTTTTTTTTCTCGCGACCCCAGTGTTAGTGTCAGGACTGACCTTATATCATGTCTCTTAATCCGATCATCTTCTTCCTTACTGCCGTTTTTAGCGGTACCTCTAGCGCTGGTGCGGGTCTCCGATCCTGCGCTTACTCCTCTGTCCTCCTCTCCTCTGATGTCCCATGGAGTGTGTGCGGGTGCACGCTGCTCTATAGACTTACCTTGTGTCTCTCCTCGTCTCCCGGCCGAACATCTGAACTGTGCATGCGCCAGCCCCCAAGATCCCTTGCAGCCGCCCGAGACTCTTCAAATGTTCGGACGGGAGCGCTTGGCAAAGACACAGGTAAGCTCAAAACTATTTCAAAAGGTTTTTATTTTTTTGCATATATCTACTGCTTGCTAGCAGTAGATATATGCAAAAAAAATGTGAGGGTTTAATAACCCTTTAACAAGAAAGGTAATGCTTTGACAATGTTTTGTGCCTGCTCTACCTCTGTATTGTGTATATAACTCTGTCAATGTTTACAGAATATATAGGAAAACATGCTTTATATATTTGAAGATACATTCATATACTGTATATGAAGTAAGGTCATTTAACATACAAATATTACAAGAGGATTCTAGCTCACAATAAAACTAGGTATAAAATGATCTTCCTACATTGTAAGTGGACAGTAGATTGATCGACAAATAGAATTTACAATTTTACTGGCAATAAAAGCTTGGCTTTAGTTGGTACAGATTGATGTTACTTTAATTGTTCCAGGACATCAAATTCAGCCCCTAAACCTTAGAGCCCATTGACAATGCGTGTTGATGCAACGTGTTATCGTGCCTTAAGATGGATTTGGAATGGGCTGGGAGAGCATCTTAATGTAAAGACCTTACTTTTCTTAAAATGCAGTGCACAGCCTGTGTGTTGGGGCTCATTGCAGTGCAGATGCTTTGGTATGTCACTTGAAATGGATGGCACCGCAACAGCTTATGGTTCATGCATTATCATAGCGCATAAGTGTGAATTAAAGGAGAACTATGAGGTGAGTGATTTTCACTCATCCTCATAGTTCGAGCCGACGTGTGACAATGAAACTGTCACACATCGGCTCTATAGATCAGGAAGTGAGCGAACACATACCGTCACTCGCTCACTTTCCGATCATCTCCCTGCTCCCCTCTCCGTTCCCCAAGTGCTGACTGGAGGAACAGATAGGGGGGAGGGCACAGATGGCTCTGCCTCCAGATAGTCAGAGCCAGCTGTCACTCACACAGCTGGGTGGATCTCGACAACATTGACGGGATCCGTCCCGGCTACGGCGCTCTCAGTATATAGCGAGCTTTAGTAACTACCACAGTAGCTAAATTAGCTCTATGTGAATGAAATGTGACGTAAAGCCAAACCTTTGCATTAAATCCTCAAATTGTGTTACTTCAGTGCTAACACAGAGATCTTCATAGTGCAATAGTCCAATGATGCTCCCTCTAATGGGCCAGAGTAATGCAATTGCAAGGTAATCCAAAGACATCCTCCATGCGTCCTCTAGTGGACTGCACTAAAACATTTCTTCATGAAGTCAGTGGTCTGTGACCATCTTGTGCCCAGTGTAGCTCACACACCTCAAGAATGGCACTCAACTTCTTCCATGGATCTTAACTAGTGGCAGCCAGGCTACACAGTGCTTGTGTGATGAGGCGACATCCAGGGCTGATCTGGTGTCCTCACCTCACATCACTTACTCCATGGGTCCCAAGACAGCACTCATAGGTGAAAGTATATAGAAAATGTCAATAGTGTAAAAGCGCTTACATTTTATTAAACCAGTGAACAAATAAAAATCACACTCACAAATTAAAGGAGAACTATGAGGCGAGTGCTTTTCACTCACCTCATAGTTCTAGCCGACCTGTGACAATGAGACTGTCACAGGACGGCTCAGTAGATCGGGAGGTGAGCGAACACATACCGGCGTTCGCTCACTTCTCGATCCTGTCACGGCTCTCTGCCCTGACAGGGGAGGGACTGGATTCCCCCCTCCCCTGTCCGATCCTCCAGCGCTGACTGGGGGAACGGACGGAGGAGGGGGCGGGTACAGCTGGCTCTGCCTCTAGATAGGCAGAGCCAGCTGTCACTCACGCAGCTGGGCGGATCCAGACATAATTGTCTGGATCCGCTCCGGCTGCGGCGTCTCAGTATACCGCGAGCTACAGCTTGCGGTATACTGAGCTTTGGGTAACGGGAGGACGCTAGTTTGTGTCCTCCCGTTACCCTAAGGAGAACTATGGGGAAAGGCCCTAACCCCATAGTTCTCCTTAAGTGCACTTTCAACTTGTGTACATAAGATCACGCATATACCACACCGTATGTTAAAACCAGCGGTCCCAGCCTCATTGGACCTTCTGCTGATGTCACTTCCAACTCCAGTCATCAGTAAGAATCATCAAATAAGAAACGCAAGAGCTTCCATTGTGGATGTCATTCTGAAAATGCTTGTTTGTTGAATTTTATATTGGCCTAGTGGTTTCAATTTGAGTCCTTTAATCTGGAACAAGCATGTAGGTGAGGGAAGTCAGTAGTCCCAATCGGCACTAAGTATTTTCAAGGGAGAGGCAGCTAAATAGAATTTCTAGGACAGGTCAGAAGGGATATCTTCCATATTTCTCTTACCCGTACAGAAACAGCAAGTGTAAGCATGTTTTAACTCCTAATAATTGTATCCAATACTTAAAAATAAATGGTGTTAATATTTGTGATAACACTGCTTCACTTGAGAATGGCAAAAAAGCAGAAGCCCTGCTCGGTACCAACACTGAAATACAGGGAAAGTTTAAACTGTTTAGCTATTGGATATTAATAACTGTGTACAACCTAAATGACATACTCTTATATTTAACATAATTTTATCACAAAAACAATTAGGCATCACACTTGAAAATGCTCTAACTGTACTATAAAAACGGGACATTTCCTTATTTGTGTTTCAGGCCTCATTTCATTTGAGGAGTTTCATCACACTTGGAAGCTACTCAGCTCCCACTTAAACATAGATGTCAGTGATGAGGCCATCGCTAACATGGCGAGGAGCATAGATTTCAATAAAGATGGAAACATAGACATCAATGAGTTCCTGGAAGCCTTCCGATTAGCAGACAGACCCCACGCTGAAGATAAAGAGTCAGATTTGTAATACATGCTCCACTGCATGGAAGCCCTATGACAACAGTTCAGAGCTGCATAACAACCAAACACAATACAATCAGTTGACTCTATATATAAAAATGGTACAGTATTCTGTATGAAGAATAATTCCATGTGTACAGACTCATGATTTGTCAAACTCTTATCAGGACATTATGGAAATGTATTGTGTATGTATTTTGCTATAAATGTAAATATGAACAAATATAACTTGGATTTTACATATTATATAAATACATGCTATAGACATCAAAGGTAAAAAGAGTGCAAGTCCTTGATTGTAATCCATGATATGTTTCCTTCCTTCCATAACCTGACATATGATTTTCAAATTGGACCAAAAATACAAAACGAGTCTTCTTAAACCTGAACTCTGGGATTATCAAATATTGTCTAAATACAGGAGTCATGTGTATTCTTTATTTTATTCACAAATCAGAGATGCAGGAGCATCTATAAATCAAGACCAGTCACTGCTGCTTTCTCTCCTTGTGCAGGGTGACTGGTGGTGTATCCGCCCCCTCCTGTAGTTTGCTTTGAACGTAGTGGGTGGGCCTGCTGGGTCCCTCCTGCAGCTCTGCATAGGCTAAAGCTGGCCTATTTTTTTCGTTTAACCCACGGGCTGAACAAAAAAATAGGATTTTTGTACTCACCGTAAAATCCTTTTCTCTCCGTTCATTGAAGGACACAGGGCAACGGATCTCTGATCCGTTGCCCTGTGTCCTTCAATGAATGGGAGAGAAAAATAGCACAGATTTCTCCAGCAACGCTTCGAGCGCTGTAATTGAGGAATCCCTGTTTTTGTATTCTGATAGCGGCCGCTGGTAGAATTCCTGCACAGTTCATGCTAAGATTTTCCGACAGGCTCCTTCGATCAGCTGATTGAGAGATGCCGGCCGAAACGGTGCCAGCAGCGTACCGGATTGTGTGAATTTCGGCCAGTTCCTCAAGAAGCGGCCCGAAATTCGGTGTATGGCCACCTTAGGTACAGCACATTGAGGAAGTCACTGCTACTTTTATTGGGATTTGCAAAGCCATTTGGTGCAGACAAAGTTGATTGATATCCATGACTATAGGAATATATTTAAATTACTTTTGTTGTGCCTGGAGTTCAGCTTTAAAAACATACACTGTGCTACATAAAAACCTGTTGTTAGGGCAGTTCCATTTTACAGCGAAAGTTGCCTTTGTTGGCTCCTGCTTTCAGGCTAGGACACCTTCAAAGCACCTTCCACAATGACATGCTTGCCCTGGAACTAGCATTGCTTCTGGGAGTTGGGGAAATGGTAGACAACAGAACTTACAGGATTTCTTAAATAGAAGCACCAATGAAGAAAAGCTTCAAACAATATTAAAATAGATCACATTTATTGTACATTACATTCTAAAGTGTTCACCTATGAATATATATTCTTTTTTTATATAAGCCATGATATTAAAATGCCCTAAAGGCACCTTATCTCATATACATTATGCAGTGCAGATTTTCTAATGTCATGAAGGAAAAAGATGATCCTATATCTTCAGCCCGTTCTGAGGAAAAAAAAGAAACCTGTGGTGTGTGAAATGCAGAGACAGCCACTGTGGCCCGGCTGACTGAGAAAGCATGCAGAGCAAGAATGTCTGAGCTCCTAATCTGCATACCTGATCTGATCAGTATTACAGTCAGTGAATCAGCGTGTTAGCCAAGTATTTGACAAGAACAGCCTTTACGTTTCTCATGACCGTATTAACAGACACAGAAGTTCTCTTGCTAGGGGCCAAACTACTTGCATTTGCCATACCCCAATACTGACTCTAAAAGGGTCAATTTGCCCCAAGCCGAAAGGGCATTTTGAAAGCAACTCATTCATCCTGAGTTCATGGGCTCAACGACAAATGGCAACTAATATGAGGCATCTCGGTTTTCCTGTTGGATGTTTTAATCAGTATTTTAAAGTGAGGCAATATTACTTTTCAAGCAAAACAGCAAGCATGAAAAGTATTTGTGTGTCTGTATCTTGCACTAGGTCCCTCTCTACAGTGCAGTTAAATGCTTGTTTTGTCTAGAAGGATTGGAATAAGGCAAAATAATGAATTTCTTGCTCCGACACACTTCCTCCTCTTTGAAAGGAGCCCCTGGAGCCACTCCTCTTTGCTGCCCTACCTTTTCTGCTGCTCTCTGGAGGTCATCACATACAATTCAGGCCTGGTAATCCTCAATTTTACGTGAACACACCGAGGGCCTGCCCACATCCTGGAAGTGTCAGACAGCAGAGAATAGAGATAAATAGGGTAAGTAATTCACCTTATTCACCATCAGCTAAGGGTAACTGTTTCTCCAGCCCCAAGCTCAAAACATATTTTGCAACGCAATAGTCACTACTGGCTAACCAGAAGCAGAGAACTTGAATAAATAACCCTGCATCGGAGAACAAGTTGCACTTTAAAACGGTGGCCATACATTGTACGATTTCCATTTGAAATGTTCCTTTCTGCCACGAACCCTCGTTCGATTATACCTAGACATCTCCATCAAGCATAGTCAAATGTTGATTTCGTAAATCGTTCGGTAGCCAAACTAACCAACCAATTTTTGGCAAACTACGGAAATCATTTCTTTTTGCGCATGTGTTGTTTTTTGTTTGACAAACGAAAACCCCACTGATTCATCGATTATCGTTCGGTCAGAAAACATTTTTGCAACCTGACCGAAAGGAAAATTCACAATATCAAAAACAAAAATCGGAGATGTGCCATCAGCTGTTCGATTTTCGTTCGAAAGACTGTTCGTGCACAATTTACGAATGAAAATCAAACAATGTGTGGCCACCTAAAAGGAGAACTATGAGGTGAGTGAAAATCACTAATCCTCATAGTTCGAGCCGATGTGCGACAAACTGTCACAGGTCGGCTCAATAGATCGGGAAGTGAGCAAACACATACCGTCGCTCACTCACTTCTTGTTCCTGTCCCTGCAGAGAGCAGTGACTGTTCACTCACAGCTCCCTCAGGGATCCCCCCCTCCTCGCTCCGATCCTCCAGCGCTGACTGGCGGAACGGATGGGGGAGGGGACGGGTACAGCTGGCTCTGCCTCTAGATAGGCAGAGCCAGCTGTCAATCACGCAGCTGGGTGGATCTCGACAGTAATGTCAGGATCCGTCGCGGCTGCGGCAGTCTCAGTATACCGTGAGCTGTAGCTCATGGTATACTGAGCTTTGGGTCACGGGAGGACACTAGTTTGTGTCCTGCCGTGACCCTCAGGAGAACTATGGGGAAAAGCACTGACCCCATAGTTCTCCTTTAAGTTTTTGGCCCTTACCATTTGTTTAGTAAGAGTAATTACAATTACTACACGCTTTTACTGATAGTCACAACAGAGGTACTAATGACTGCTATGAGTAATCCTTCACATATGTGAGAAGTAAACCAAACAAAGGCTTGTATGAATTTGAGGTTTGACTGCTAGAAGGGATAACATAAGGTCATTCAGCTATCTTGCATCATAATACTCTGATAGATGGATTTCATCTAGGGATAAGGCCATACTGCTGTAAACCTAAAAACAGTGCTGGGAAAGACTGAAATGTTACCTCAAGCTCTATGTAGACTTCCGGAAAAAGCAGGTCACCAAATCACATGAACAAGGAATGACATTGTTGGGGCATTCTGTATGCAAAGCACTGCTGACATCTAGGCAAGTGAAAACAAAATAATTTCTGGAGGTTTTTAGAAAACCCTAACTGCCTGTAGATTAAGAGCCAATTCACACAAGCCGCTGAGATAAACGCACAGTGGCTGGTGCGCCTTGCCCGACACAGTACCTACGCACTGATCCCAGCACATCACACTGTCTTTTTGTAGAACTTAATTGAAATGTCGCAAGTGACATTTCATTCAGTTCTACGGACACATCGGGGGAGCGACATGGCTTGATCCACGGCATGCTGTACTTTTCTTCAGCGCACACCACCATGTTCCCATCACAACGTGGTGTGAGCCGTGACACAGACTATGCATTGGAGCTGCGCTGGCTGTTTCTAGCACAGCCCCAAAAAAGAAAAAAAATGTCATTTTTTATAACATTATACAAAATTGCCTGTCTAGCAATTGTATGTTTAAGATGTTAATGAAAGCAGTTTTTGTCCCAAAAAAATAAATGCACCACACACCTGCAGCAGTTTCTAATACCCTACTGTTACAATTGAATCTCTCGCTATTCTAACAGGCAAATCTTCAACACTTCAAACAAATGTCGAAGCTTGCCACTGACTCCCATACATTCCTACTAGCTCATCAATATGCTGGCCAATAAGAATGTGCACGAGGCATTAATGGGCAGGAAAGTATATTTTTTTTACTTTTAGTGCAGAAGCTTGTCCTGTCAGAACCACCAGCCAGGCATTAAGTTTTAGAGGCTGCTTTCGTTCTAAAGTTAAAATGAGCATTTTGTTATTTCTTACATCATGAATGACTTCAGAATGCTCAATGTACTGAGGCAGGTGGCCATCGCCAATAATGCAAGTAACATCTAATCCCTCTAATATCTTATGGAGCTTCATATGCTTAACACAGAAGGGGACATTAAAATAAAAAAATAGAAACATTCAACATCTGTGGCAAAAAAAAATAAAAAAAAACATCCAAGAGTACATAAGAAAAATATTTATTCATTCTGCATAGATCCCAATAAGATCCAATATTTAATATCAAGAATAAAAAATGTAAAGGTAATGTAAATTGTTTTTATAGTGCTGGATGTTTTCTTTTGCATACCCCTAGCTGCTGTATTTGTCACATTTCAGTGTCACCAGTACTCCAATATGCTGTGGAGGTAAATCTCTATGTCAGCTACCTTCAAAAGATCACTTACTTTAGGTTCCCTGCCATTAACTGCAGTGTACACACTTAACAAAATTCAGTGTCTGAATACTTGACATTTTACTCAAAAAACACATTTTCTGGCGTTATCTGTGAAAACAGAAGAGAGGAAGTGATCTATAGGTGTGTACGGTAACGTTTAATTGCAGCCAACTGGCCTGGAGCCATTCAAATGTTGTGTGGTCCACACTGTAGATGGAAATGAGATCAGTGCTTTTTCACAGGTCAGCTGAACATTCCTCCTCGTATGTGAACATTATCAATCAACCCTTGTTCAATCAGCTTGATGTCTTCAAGATCATCCTTGATTATAGTAATTAAATGGCTCAGTCCTTCCTGTTGTTGTTTTAAGTGCTGGGGATAAAAGGAGAAATTGCGCATTGGAATTAACACATTATATAAATCAACTCCTCCCCCTTCCTACTAATTTTAGGAATATATAGATACAGGTACCAATTAAGTCACAGCGGAGGGGGGAGGGGGGGGGGGAGAGGAGGGAATTTAGATG